CCAGCCCAGCGTGGCCCCTTGCGCGTCCTAAAGACCGCGAGGCGTTCGGTGACGGGAACCTCATCGCTGCACGCAACGCTTTCCGCCACACGCAAATCCCTCGTGTCCCAAAGACGCCACGCCTCACCTGCGCGCTGAAGCAAGCACGTTTCGTAAGGCGCCTTCTCGACCGCCACGGTCCCAAGGTCCTTCTGCGCAGGGCGCCTACCCCACACAGACGCGTAACCACCTGGCGCCTCCCACCAGCTGTCGACGCTTGGAAGGTGGTCCAAGCAAGTAAGCACTCCAGGCTCCTCAACAGGGCGCCCAACCGGGCCGCTCCCGCCCCACACCGAAGCGAGAACAGTCACCGCAGCAAGGACCGATAGCACACCGATCCTGGCGCCGGTACGCAGCCGCCCAAAGGACCGCGCACACGAGGAACAACCTTGGAAGCTTCTTGCCGCGGCCCTGGACGCGGACCCGCAAGCAAAGCACGGGTCATGGTCAACCGAAGCAACGGCGACCCCACAATCCGCACATGCCTGCGGAGACGGCTCTGACTCGAACACCGTCTCAATCGCGCCACAACCACAAGCCGCAGTGCTGACGAGGCCGGAACGCACTTCCGCAACAACCTCGCCTGGCTGGAGAGAGTGATCACACTCTTGGGCTGCAAGCAAAACAAACCCTTTACCCTCTCCTGTGGGCCAGAGACCTGGCACAGCCTCAACCCCACACTCAACCGGAAGCACAACCTCGGACAGGGATCCCTCTGCGGAGACTCCTGACTCCCGCACGACTGGCACCAGCACCCCAGCACGAAAATCTCGGTGTTGGGGCGACAGTCGTCCGCCGTTTTGCCTTCCAGCAGCGTGACGCGCAAGACTGCTGCCCCTTTCAGAGGAACCGGGGCTCCCGAAGCGATGCCATGCACATATTCGGGGTGGACCCACTTCTCAAGTCTCACGACCGGAAAGCCAGGATCCTCAGTGCCGATCCCAAGCTCTGCAGCCCGGTTCATCATGCCTACCACGAGTTCCTCAGTCACGTGGTTTGCGCCGGCGCAACCGTCAAGCATGCACTCGACCTTGCGGTCGAGGACCTGGACCACCGTTCTGTACTGGTAGCCTCCTGGCTCGTTGTCCGCCAGGTTCCACCAGTCCTTCGGCAGATCGTCCAAGGTGGCGAACTTGTCCCGCCCGCCCTTGCTTAACGGAAGCGCGTGCTGCTGCACCGCGGCGTGTCCTGCGGCTCCTAAGACGCCTGCCTGGACGCCTGAGCTGCCTATCTGGACACTGAACGCGGCGAAGGGGTTAGACATGGAAGCACCGGAGGGCGGGGCCCAGTTGGCAGGCAAGGCCGGCGTCCCTCCTGAGGTCGTCAGGTTGTGGACCATGTCGCAGCTGGCTCCTTTCTTGCACGACCCATTCTTGGAGAAAAAGGGGCAAACAGTGCCTGGTGGCTTTGCCGCGCCTTTGGCCGCAGCCTTAGGCTTTGCGTTGGCTTTTGCTTTGCCACCTCCCTTCCCTTTGCCTTTACCTTTCGCAGTGGCAAAGGTTTGGTCACCCTTCTTGGCCGCGAGAGCTTTTCTGCGAAGCTCCTTGTCGTGGCTGTACGGGCAGGCATCCCCTTTCGGGCAATTCCCATGATCGCGAAAGTGGAAGCAGATCTTCTTGTCCGCTCCCTTGCCAGCTCCCTTTGACGTAGCAGCATACGTCTGGTCCGCGCCAGCTTTGGCCGCGGCAGCTGCTCCTTTCGCAGCAGCCTTCGCAGCGGCCTTGAGACTCTTAATCTCCTTCTGAGCCTCAGCCAGCGCGACCGCCGGGTCCGCGCTCTGCGAACCGGTGGCAGTGTACACAGAGTGGGAAACAGCCCTGTGCGCTGCTTCTCTCTGCTCGTACTCCAGAACGACTTTGTGGCTCTCTTCCCAAGTCTGCGGTCCTCGCAACCCGCCATCCTTGGGGTCGCCAGGCCACAACCTTTTGTCGTTCCGGATCTCCTTTTGGAGATAAGGGGGCATCTTGCGGAGGTATGAGAGATACAACTCCCGAGGGGTCTTCCCGAGACCTACTGCCTCAAGGTCCGCGATCGAGGCCTCAAACAAAGGCTCGAATTGGTGGCCTGTGAGCTTACCCTTAGCGAGAGAGGCGTGCTCACCATCCACGCGGACTTCTCTTTCCTCCCGCGATTCCCCGAACATCAAGTGTTTGTTCTTGATGCGGTCATACACCGCCTGTGGATCTGAGAGAACCTCTCCCGATTTCCACGCTGCGCGGTACGCGTTCGTGTACGTCTTCATGCGCGAGCCGCGGCAGCGCCCGCGTAGCGCTAACAGCTTTTCGCGCGCACTCATACCGCGACAGTTGTTGGCCAGCGCGCAGACGTCCTCGAACTCCTCGTAGAACAGGACAACGTCTCGCGCGTCCGACTTGTCGTCGGTCAGCGTCGGCCACGTGAGGTCAGTTTTGACCGTAGTTATGGAGCTTTGCCCGCCCCTCTGCGCTAACGCTTCTTTCAGCGCCTCAGTTTGGGCGGCGAGTGCGGCGGCGAGATCGCCCGCCGGGTGTTGGGACCCGGTCTGCGAACCTCCGCCGTCTGAACCTCGCTTCAGGGCTTCTATCTCCATCTCTAGCGCAGCAAGCTTCGCGCGCAAAGGGGAATCGCCGTCCGTCGCGCCCAGGACACGGGCCGCGGAAGGACCACCTGCAACCTCAGCAGTGTGCAAACCTCCACGGTCCAATCCTACCCCCAACCCACTTGCAGTCGCAGGCTGTGGGAGCCCTGGGGAACGCGGCCCCACGGCTTCAACTGGCACATCGGACGGGGAGCTCCAAACCTTCTCTTGGCTCGAGCTTTCTTTTCCCCCTAACGCGAGGATAAGCTCCCCGATGCATTGGATTTCGCGCTGAATCTCCTCTGCGTCTTCGGGGTCCTCGCCACCGCGCAAAGCCGCGACCGAGAACCTGGTCCGCAGCCGACGGACCATCTTCGTAGGATGCCAGTCCCCGCCTATCTTGGAGAACTCATCCGCAAGGAGGGTGGCTTTGGTGCTTAAGGCGTCAAGGTCACGGGAGCTCACCGTGACTCCATGCGCTTTCAGCGCGAGGACAATCCGCGAAACGCGCGTCAAGTAGTCCGCGACCGGTTCTTGGTCTGGACGGAAAATCGCGCGCAGCTCCGCCTGCAAGCCCTCTGCGGTGCCTGGCACTGAACCTGCTGTCGACGGCGGACCGGACGGTCCCGCCGGGCGGGACCCTGGTGCCGTAGCAGGGACATAGGCAGCACCGGTAGGGACCATGGCCAGCTCCCTAGCCGCGGCGCTGACGTCCACCCGCGGCGGACTGTCGCCTCCAGCGCCCGAGGCCTCAGGGACTAGCTCGGAGTCCTCTTCTTCTTCCTCTTCATCCTCGTCCTCCTCTTCGGCGTCATGGAGGAACTTCATGACTTTCCGCCAGAGAGCCGCCTCTTGCTCTGGCGTAGTGCTGACCCCATCCCGCTTGGACAATGGACGGCTGCCAGTCTCCCTACGCCACTTAAGCCAAGCGACGTAGCTCATCCGCTCGGGATAGGGAACGTCTCCACCCTCGATAGCTTCGAGGAGGGTGACGCCCTCAGCCTGACCTGCAACCTCTGCGGACATTGCCGCAACACAAGGCGAAAAGCCGCGCCTTGGTTAGCAGGCCGCAGGCGTGGCACGCGAAGCGCCGCGCCTTGGTTAACAGGCCGCAAGCGTGGCACACAGTCCACGCGTCCAGGTCACGGACCGCGACAGACAAGCAAAGCAATGCTTGCCCACTCGGGCCGTAGGCACAAGAGCTGTACGTTTCCCAGAACAGCCCCCAATTGTGAAGTCGACCAGCACTGGACTTGCACTAAGCCAATGCAATCACAGCCCGGTCACGCTGTTTTACGACTTCGCGAGTTCAAGCACTTGTGCAGCTACGCCTGAGTGCGTCCGGTCGGACCGCACAGCAACCTAGGAGCTACTGTACGACTCTACCGTGCTCAAAGGCACAAGCTCGGTACTTGAGCCAAAACATTGGCATTGTTACGAATTGCAAAACTACACATGCAAGGGAAAACTACTACAAGCTGCACTAGCACTAAGCAAGCACTCCATGCATGCTTTGACCTGCTCACAAAACAGATATACATATATACATATATACATATGTATACATATTAATATATGCACTCACATACATATGTATAAGTGCAAAAAAAGTGCTCTGATGCTGCACTTGAATTGCTCTTAAGAGTTTTTTTGAAGGTGGCCCATGATGGGCAGACGTCCCTTTGGCGAGGACCCCAGGACTGGCTCGGACGGACAGCAATTTTTTAGGGTTTAGGGTTTAGGGTTTAGGGCAATTTCTATGAAATTCTTGATTTGTTTTTTTTTATGATTTTTGTTTCCTTTCTCATTTCTTGGGTCTCTATTCCCGTCACCGTAGCTCACCGAGGGCCACCTCGCTGTTTTGAACAAAGGCCTCGCTGAAAATACGGGGTGTGAGGTACCTACAAATAATAATTGACCTTGGTTACGTGGTTCAGGGCAACTTGTTGCAGGAAACGAAACACGACTCGAATCGAACAGAGTGAAACGACTACTCGAAACGAACCACATCGATTCGATTCTTTCTTGTAATGGAACCGCAGACCCCTACGAGCGAATCGCATCAATCCTGTCAAAGAAAACAGGCCGAATGTTCCAAGCCCTGGGCATGTGCGTGCCAGCGCATGCACATGCCCAGGTGGAATCAAATCCTTGTGATCTGTACCGATCCAAAACGTGTTTCTTCATAATAAACAATGATTGCATGCATGCGGCACTGCCACGTTCCAATACACTACAGTGATGTTTTTGGAAGATTCTCATCCAACAGTTCTGAATAATATCCAAAAACTACCCACCTGGAATCTCGTACCTTTTCTAACCAGTGTTTATAATGTAGTACTGCTGCTATGTCGCATGCCAACTTGGCGACTCCCTTGCTTTCAGCCTTTGAGTTCGCTGCCAGTCACTGCCAGTCCTCCACAGACAGCTTTGCAGCGGTCAAGTCCACTTCCGTGGCCGAGTTACATTCGTTTGGCGCCAGGTTGTCCGCACAGAGCCTTGGGATTTGCACTGCCGAGGCACATCCTCGTCCTTGTGCTACGGTTGGTTTGACTCTGAACAGCTCGCGGCCATACAAGACATGAGTACATGAGTTTCGGTGCGTGCATAGACCTCCCCAAGTGTTGAAGCTCATTAATTGGGATGTTCCCCGTTATACCAACAGTCCTGAATAGGGCTGATGTTAGGGGGTACTATGACATCCCCATTAAGGACTGTTAGTTTTAGGGGGAACATCCCAACTCATCAAGCAGGCTGCCGCGAAGAGTGGGAATGCTGACGAGATGCACTGAGGGAGGACACATATCCTGGCATGGTCTCGGGGTTTAGGGTTTAGGGTTTAGGGTTTAGGGTTTAGGGAACGCAACAGCACAAGCTCCCTGGGAGGATCCAAAAAAAGTAGAATCCCAAAGAGTGCCCTATACTACTATTGGGCAATTGTTTAGGAACCGTTAAGGGGATCTACTCTACTATTGGGTCATGTTTAGGAACCCCCAAACCTCTCTTTCATATATAATTTAAATGTTAAGGAGTTACTGGGCAAGGTCATTTTTTACTGGGCAAGGTCATTTTTTTACTGGGCAAGGTCATTTTTTTTACTGGGCAAGGTCGTTTCGTCCAAAAAAACGACCTTGCCCAGTAAAAACATGATCTTGCCCAGTAAAAATGTTACTGGGCAAGGTCATCTTTTTACTGGGCAAGGTCTTTTTTTTTCTGGGCAAGGTCATTTTTTTACTGGGCAAGGTCAATTTTTTTACTGGGCAAGGTCGTTTCGTCCAAAAAAACGACCTTGCCCAGTAAAAACATGATCTTGCCCAGTAAAAATGTTACTGGGCAAGGTCATCTTTTTACTGGGCAAGGTCTTTTTTTTTCTGGGCAAGGTCATTTTTTACTGGGCAAGGTCATTTTTGCTACTGGCAAGGTCATTTTTTACTGGGCAAGGTGATTTTTTTTTTCTGGGCAAGGTCATTCTTTTACTGGGCAACGTCATTTTTTTACTGGGCAAGGTCATTTTTTTTACTGGGCAAGGTCATTTTTTACTGGGCAAGGTTATTTTTTTACTGGGCAAGGTCATTTTTTATTGGGCAAGGTCGTTTTTTTTTTTACTGGGCAAGGTCATTTTTTTACTGGGCAAGGTCGTTCCATAAGTGAAATATTTTCTTAATGTTGTGGGATTCTTTGGGCGGGTGGGTATTTTTCTGGAGTAATTTCTTGACTAGTGAATGCTTGGACTTGAGATGCTGAACCCTAAACCCTAAACCCTAAACCCTGATTCCTGAACCCTTAAGGGGATCTCTACCTTTTTTGGGATCCTCCCGTCGTGGAAGCATCGCGGCCTTGACTCCATCGGGTCGCTCGGTGGGCACCGGCTGCAATGCCTCGTCGAAGACCTGCGCCTGGGGGAAAACATAATTGAGGTTGGTTTAGGGTTTAGGGTCTAGGGTCTAGGGCTTAGGGTTTAGGGTTTAGGGTTTAGGGTTTCGGGTTTAGGGGTCTCCGAAAATAGGGGTACTCTTTTTGGGGGTCCCTTTAAGGGGATTCTATTCTATATTGGGGTATGAGAGGGGTACACCCTTCTTTTGGGAAACGCCCAAATGGTCAGCTGTGTTAGGACAGACAACCCAGTCACAACCCATCCCAAGTCATTCTTGAAAACTGTGCAAAATACCATTTTAGACAGGGAACAACTGTACCTACCCTCAGGTGGTGTTGCTGGATCCCACGCGAGCCACGTGCTGAAGACTGCAACTTCAGACCCCCTAAACCCTAAACCCTAAGCCCTAAATCCAAAATTCGAAACCCTAACTGAAGCTCCCAGAAGCTCCCGTGCCTCCACGTCCCGCATTGCCATCGCTCGACGTGCCCCCGGCTTCCCAAGACAGTGCTCGCGGCCTGTGCGCCCTTTCTCAATGTTCAGCAGTAAGCTCAAGCTTTTCGTTGGCTAAGCATAGTGTCAGGATGTGCAGTCTGTACGACAACTGCGGTTGGGGACATGAAATGGAATGGCTGCAATACAGAGCACACTGGTAACTGGTATGACATCAGAAGTCTACAAATCTGCTTTGCTTTGTGATTGTTGCAGCGATGCAAAGCAAGGCCATGCGGAATTCAGAGAACAGGGCATGCTGGCCGGCCATTGCAGGCACTTGGGCTGGCCAAGCAAAAAAAATGGCTGCGGATCGGCCCTATGAATGTCGGCGAGTTTCGGTGGGGTCTGGTTACTTTGGGGTTTGTTGGGTTTAGGGTCTACAGCGACTGTGGATTCAATAGGGTGGAAGGTCAAGCTTGACTCTCGCGGCATGACGCGAGCAAGTGAAATCAAGAAGCAAGTGGGCGCTGCTCCTGGAATAACTCCGCTGCCACCAAAAGGCAGGTCAATCGCCTAGGTCACCCGTTGACAGCAGAAGACTCCAACAAGATTCAGCATGAGGTCGGGCAGCTGAGGGAAGATGTCACCAGAGACAGGGACAGTGGTGTTCATTATGGTGATGCGATGTTGTGATAGGTTGTCGTGCTTGTTCGCCCCAAAACTGCCGCATACCAGTTGCCTACTACACAAGGTCGGCACAATACATCGCGAGACCTCTTCAAGCAGAGCAATGGGAAAACACGGGAAGGAGTGAGCGAGGTCAGCAACAGTGCAGCAACGCCTGCAGACGTTTAGCTGTACGAATACGGTGGCATGCATACGCTTCTTGACAGGATAAACCACAAATCCCAAGGAGTTCTCGCGATTTGGAGCTGCGTTCCGATGAAAGAGCAAAGATGAGCCCACTCCAGATGCCGAACCAAGTGCCTGCAGTCTACCATAGAACAACGCTGGTGAGACTGAAGCCGACACTCTGCAAACGTGGAATGAACCATGCGGGGGAAACAACTTAAGGAATCCTGAACCCTAAACCCTGAATTCCTGTATTCCTGAACCCATTCCAAGTCGAGAGGCCATATTCTGGAAGGCCCCATTTGAGCACTGGGCCTGGTTGAAGCTGTACTCTTCTAGGCTCGACCGATTACAAACAGCAGCAGAGATAGTTGCTCCAGGGATCTGTATGTTCAGATTCACAGGCAAGATGAACATCAGCACACATCCAACAAGTCCGCAGATCGTGTAATCTCCGTTTAATATCCCTCTGCAGTAGACCTTACTGCATACATGACATACACATCGACACAACTCTTGTATGCATGCATCCATACATGACATGCATGGCTACATGGCCGTCATCTCATCTCTTTAGCCAAGGCTCCGTGCCCAGCGGGCCCCCAACAAGGCGTCCGCTGAGAAAGGCTTTGGCAGAAAACGCTGCAGGAAGCATAGCACCATGCCTTGTAAATATGACTACTGTGCTGTGACTTTGGCTTCTCCAGGAAGGTGAAGGGAAGAGCTGCAGGACCGCAACTCGCCAGACAGCCGACAGCAAGACTTGTTCAACGGGAGATTCTTGAAGGTGAGCTGTTGAAGCAAGAGCAACTGGGACGAGCAAACCATCTGAGAGTCAATCGCAAGGCTGCGGCAACGACCTGAGGGTGCAACATGCTGTATGATTGGGTCGCTGTGCTGCCACTGCTGCCAATATGATCACTGACGTGTACAGGGTGTACATCCCGCAAGGAAAGAGTTTTGGATGTCATCTGGCGGTCTGGAGAAGTCAACGGCATGTGGTGATGTGCAAAACATATGCGCGCACACACACACACACACGCACATACACAGTCGCACAAACATGCTGCTCCGGCCACCATGCCGGCACTATGCCAAGCATGCTCTGACCATGTGGGGAGTTCCTGGTTTTTGGGTGCTCCTATTCGGGTACTTGACCCTTGCCCCCTCCCGACACTTCAAAGCTCTTAGACTTGTCACTCTTTTTTTGAACCTGCGCTGTGCAACTTCCTTCTTGTGAAAACCAATAACAACGTTGACCCCCGCCCCGACGTTTGAAAGAACCAATAGCTTGCTGCTTCGAAATATCAGCTCGGACATCACGAATGCCGAGGCTAGTACACGGGAAGCAGTGAGTCGTCCAGATATGACACCTTGGTTGGCGGGCGAGCCGACCGACAGAAACGGACAGCATGCTTAAGGTTGCACGCGCCCATGAGGAGCGCACTGCGAGCCCAAGTACCTGCGTCTGACTGGCTCAATGCTAGTCAGCCAGGCACTGACAAAAACGACATGGGTCAAATCTTGAACAACTCTTTTGGCGTGCTCGACTGCTCGACTTGCAATCCCATGGGCACCTGGAAATTGAAGAAGCCATAGTTGCCCGTGGCCGCGATCGCCATCTGCCGATAACAAGCAGTCGGCGGTAGCTGCAATTGGACTTGCAAGGCTAGAGAAGATTCAGGGCAGCCGGGCATGAGGGCTCCAGCAGTGGCAACAATGGTGAGCCCTCTGTAAACAAACATGCCAGGGAGTCCATCAACGTAGCTGAGCCTGAGAAGGCCAACAAGCGACAAAGCTGCGTCCCCCACCTGACAAGTCCATGCTGAGAGCTGCTGATGCTGAACAGAACCCTGGAATTTCTCAGGCGTGTTCTTATCAGTCTAGATGTGTTGTTGTGAGGATGGTATGCTTTTGGCCGTAGCCGGGCTTGCACTTTCTCGAAGATTGCTTTATGGCACCGACCACACCGGGTATCTGTCGCCATCGAGCGTTCAGGGGTTCCAGTTCTTGTGCCTCGAGGGGGGGGGGACGCCGATGGTTTGGAACATTTTGTTTGTTCTACTTTGGTACATCCCCTGAAGCTGAACGGATGAAACGTGCCAAAAGTACTGCAAGCATCGAGGGGGCTGCTCAAGCCCTCCCCCCCCGCAAGAGAAGCCCGAAAAAGCGGAAAATCGCGGGATGTTGTGATGTTGGCGACGAGATCACAAGCAGACAAGCAGTGACCAAACGAAAAAGCAAAACATGCTGCAAATGCTGAAGTCTCGGCCTGCATGCAATCGAAATGACGTACCCCCCCCCCCCCCCGCCCCACACACACCCTAAAGTCACAAACTCGTCAGTCCTTTCACGGGGGCGAAAGGCAACCCTTCCATGAACTACCTATAGTGCTGAAACACATTGTTCACGCGCGGGACCGAGGAAAAGCTTCTGTTTTGTGATGCACTTCAGCTGTGTCCGTACAGTTTTCACTCAACACTATTTCACGAACTCGCAGCCGTCATCTCACGTGTCGACTTTGAAGACCTGCACGGGCTTGGAAGGCAAGATTTGCAAGAATGGCTGCTTACTCGCTGCGCGATGTTTACATCATTTAGGGGTCTCCGCAATTCGGGGTCCCTTAGTGGAGTCCGTCTGAAAAGGAATCCTACTTTTTGGGGGGTTTGTATTCTGGGTCCCTGATGTTGCAAGCCCCCTAAACCCTAACCCCTAACCCCTAACCCCTAAACCCTAAACCCCCATTTAGAGTTGCGCGACAGGCCCGGCCGGCCAAGCTTCAGGCTTCCCATGGAGCACTCAAATATCCAACGGCAGAACCCAATATCTGCTTCTATCCCGAAGCAGCGACCCTCAACCCTAAACCCTAAACGCTAAACCCTAAACCCTCAACCCTAAACCCTTAACGCTAAACGCGAAACGCTAAACGCGAAACGCTAAACGCTAAACGCTAAACCCTAAACCCTAAACCCTAAACCCTGAACCCTAACTTCCCGGCCTTGCCCGAGAACGCCCGCGGACGTTGCAAGGTGCGCTCAGCCGCGGGAAGATGTTCCAAGTACCTGCCGAAGTGCAACGTGCAGTTTAGGGTTTAGGGTTTAGGGCTTAGGGTTTAGGGTTTAGGGTAAGGGTTTAGGGCAAAGTGTACCTCTATATGCCTACAGCTCAGTATAGTAACTACACCGTATTTAGCAGGTATAACCCGTAAATCCGTAGGAAAAGAGAGTCCCAGGTAGTTTAGATAGATACTTCAGGGCTATAGGGCACTTAGGGGGCTACTCATAAACCAAGAGGCGCCTAAGAGTGTGACAGAGTGACCGGGCCTGCTCGAATCATGATCGCTGTCCTCGTCGTACTGGGCATCCATGCCTAGCTGCGCCGCCACTGTGACGATGCGTATGGTGGGTCCGGCTCGGTTACGTTGTGGGTGACAACTTTCCTAGCTCTCCTATGCGGCTTTCCATATGGCAACAATCATGGATGAAAATCACACATTGCCAAATCACGCCGGGTGTCGAAGGCTTGCCTGGTCCACGCACACATGTGCGCATGCTGACCTGGCCATCTAACAGCTGCACAAGACTGGGCACCAGAAAATCTACCGACAGTGCCACATGCCCGGGGACGGGGCAAGTAGCAGCCCGCTGCCATACTTACGGGCGTCAGGAGCTTGCACAAGCTTTCAGCCTAAGCACGCGAGGCGCCAGTCACAATGCCAGCAGTTTTTCACATCCAGGGACTGAGTAGTACATTTGGCACCTGCCCTTCGGAATTGGGAACTGTCGTAGGTCGTACAAGGCTTGGTGAGGGCCCCTGGCCGCAGCGATGCTCACAAGATTCTTAGCTGAAACAGATCTTCGGACAGAACCGCGTTCGTACTGCCTGCAGGCTCTGCTGGGCCCACGACGTTAAATTCCAACCCCCGCTTCAGGTCGAAGAAGGGTGTCATTTGAGTGTAGGTGGTCCAGGACTCAAACTTCGTACCTCCGGTCCAGGCATGCTGCTGGCAGATCCTGCAACATGCTGCAATCGACGTGGCTGGTTCGTCTCGCAACCCACGCAAGCCAAAGCAGTACATGCTCAGTCCGCACCAGGCATTACAAATACTAACAATATTATTTAGTAATAATAATGATAATACGCAAGAAAATAATAATCATGATGATAATACTAATGGTAGGATTAACAATATTAGCAAAATTAATAATGCCTGCCAGGTCACTATTGACATGGACCGTCGGCTCACGCACTGTGCGATCCACATGTCCTCGGAAGCCACAGCCACGCACCCAATCAGTCAACGACCCAGCTGCCCCTTCCTAACTGCCAGCAATGTTGAAAAATGTGGCCCAGACTACGATACGTGTTTTCGTCGTGCATCTGCTCGAGTTGTCATCTAGCCACGCTTGTCGTGGACACAAGCCCCCACAGGGCATGCTTGAAATGCAGGCGCGGAGCGCTGATATTAAGACTTCTCGAGTTGCCCAGACACTTACTAGGTGTTGAACCACTACACAAAGCATGAACAACAGCGGTCAAGAGGCGCCCCTCCGCCAGGTCGGCTACCAACGGCAGCAACGTGAAGCAGCAGTTGAGGCCACAAAGCCTCGAATCGTCGCAAGCACTCGGGTCCGATTTGTTGACGAGAACTTGCACTAACAGTCCTTAATAGGAATTGTAGCACCCCCCACTAGAATCCCTTAGGATAAGGGGGATCGTCCCAAGCCGAAACCCTAAAACCTACAACCTAAACCCTAAACCCAAAACTCCCTCCCCCATAGCGGAGAGGCATGGCGTAGACCAGAGCATATGCTGGCATCTCCTGCAGGCCAGGATGTTCAAAAACTCAACGGAACAACAAGGCAGGGTTTAGGGTTTAGGGTTCAGGGTTCAGGGTTTAGGGTTTAGGGTTTAGGGTTTAGGACATCAGCCCAACAAAAATACCCTAAGCCTACCTCAAGCTTGAGCATGACAAATTTTCTCCTGTTGTCTTGGTGACATGGCTTGGGGCATTCCACGGAACCTTGCCTGCATGTCATCACGGATCATCCGCCAGCCGAAAAGCAGAAGCAGGCCTAGCAAAACTGTGAAGGGTTGGGGCCGAGGAATGCGGACGGCGAAGTTTAACCGTTAAAAGGCTTCAGAATGCGGAAGATCGCATGACGAGTGCGCACTTCCCGGCACGAACTTCGCCTGAGAAGGCAACACCGACAATGTCCAGCGTCAATATCTGCAGCAGCATCACCTGTCTCGAAGTTGCTGCAAATTGCACTGCATGGCATAGCATGGAAGGAATTGGCAGGACAGGACACAAGAAATCGCGATGCAGTTTTCACAAGTCTTCTCAGCGACCTGCACCGTGGCACTTTTGTCGAAGGAGGGAATGTTGTTGACAGCGCCACTCTGAGCTGCGTTATATATATATATATATAAATATATATAAATATTAATATTTATTTATATTTATATTTATATTTATATTTATATTTATATATAGACAGGTCAGCATGTATTTCTGTGCTATTTACAATCTTCACTAGCGCTAGGTCGAGAACACCGAGGCATGAATACATAGACAGATCGCTAGATGAACAGGCAACTCAGAGTGTCGAGGTCTGCCATATGTTTGAAGACATCCAGAGCTTGCCAAGCATGAGGGGGGCTGATACATTGAAACAACAGTGCCTCCCAATTCACAGCAGCAGTTCAGACTTTCTGCGCAACCGCCATTCATACGACCAGGGCATGCCTAATAAGAATCAATGTGAACGCCTCCCGGCTGAGGCTGCGACAAATGTGTACACCGCCATCAGGCTCAGCCATTTCCACCGACTGGGTGCAGCAGGTGAAGTGCAACAACCCTGAACCCCCTACACCCCAAACCCTAACCAGCGCCTGACCATCAATCGCAAATTGATACAGCGACCATTGTGGCGAACAACACCTGTTAAGTAGCAATTACTCGAAGAAATAGAACTATTGGCAAGGGAGTCCTTGATGCAAAACCTGCCCGAATAACAGCGAAAAACACACCAACCAAGAACTAAGAAAGGACACCATGAACTTCTGAGAAACATTCGCCAATCTGTTCAAAAGTGTCAGTGTAGGTGTGGTGCATGCTTGTGTATGTATGTTTAAAGTGTATATGTATGTATGTATGTATGCATGCATGCATGCATGTAGGTATGTATGTGAGTGAGTGCGGCGTGTCTGTGCGCCGTGTCTGTGTCTGTGTCCGTGGCCTGTCCGTCCCAAGTCCGCGTCTGTGGTGTCCACATGTCTACATTCGGTGTGTCAGTGTGAGGAGGAGACGTAGCGCAAGCGCTGATGTTTGCATGTAGGTGCAATCACCACCATGCCATCCTCCGTCTCGATGTGGGGGTTTTCGAAATCCAGGGTCCCTTTTATAGAGGTTCCCAGAATAGGGATTGTATTGAGGGCTTCCCCTCCCCCCTCCCCAGGAAAAGATCCATGTCTCGCAGTTAAAACGGCGGTTCTTTAGCCCAGCGGCTCATGAATCAGTTCTTCCGGGGGTGGCAGCCGTCGGAGCTCGGGAAGAAAAAACATGGCGCAGGCATGGGCGGTCTCGTGTTGAGAACCCGGCTTATCTCAAGTCAGTTGGGACTTCTTGCAGGAGTCTACTCTACATATTCTACATCCTGCCTCCTTTTGCAGCTGAAACCTCAAGAGTGGCCGTGCCAGTGAAACGGTTCAGTCTACGGACCTTGGGCCACAAGCGCAGGATCGCAGGACTCGGCAGCCTACAGAGATACGAAACCCATGAAGCCCAGATGTAATGGACATGTGCTTGACGTTGTCCCTGAGAATCGGCTTGAACAAAGGGCGCCGGAGCTGCTGAAGGAACGGCAGTGGGAGCTGAATGATGAAGGCCGCGAAGCATTCCTTGACACTTGAGCACGCTCAGGCATATGCATCTCTTGCAAAGCAGTGCATGATCACAGCTCATCCGTGTTCAGCCAAGTTGCCCAAGCATGCAGCCAGTGCCTGAACACATAGGGATGTCAACTGCTCGCCTCACTCAGTTGCTGCCAAGCAGCATAGCCGCATGATGCAGCGACGTGTGACGACGACCATGTCAGCACTGGTCCGCTAATGCAGGCGAAGCTGCGGAAGAGGATGAACAAACCAGGACACCACGTGTGGAATAGGCCTCAAAGGAACAGGCAAGGCCATGTGCTGCGACAGCGAAGCAGGTAGCAGCTTCTTGCAGGAACTGCTGCCGCGCCCCGCGGATAAGCTTCGACCAGACAGTAGAGGACTACGACCCTTATGGCACCTTCCAGAATGGGTGCTTTTGTTTTTTGTGGGCGGGGGGGGGGGTCTTTTTGACTCAAAAAATCTACCCTCCTTCCAGAATCATAACCAATGTAGCCTCTGAACCGACCCAAGGATTTCCTGGAAGCCCCTCTTTCCGATCTCTACATGCTCTTCCTTCCTGGAATCCTCCACATCGAGTCGGTATCGCCAAACAAAAGAAGACATGCTCAAGTACTTCTGCCTACCGCTCTTGGCGGAAGAGAACATCACTTTTCAACCCCATGTGCGGGGTTTCCGAAAATAAGGGTAAGCTTTTTGGGGGGTCCTAGAATAAGGAGTATCGTTGGTGGATGATATTCGGGGCACCCCTGTTTTGGAAAAGCCCCCCCATATTACACGCTTTGTCGTCGACACCCACACAACATCATTCTGTGGACCGCTCTGAGTCTCGTAATGGAGATCCATAGCCTGGCCATCCAGACAATGGGGTTCTGTTTTTTGCACACTGAAGCTTGCACTGAGCAGACAGAGAGGCGGAGAGAGAGAGAGGGAACAAGCCGACAAGAGCTGAGAGCCCAGGTCTCAACTTGCTAACATGCAAGCTTAATTGATTCTGACCTTTGTGGCGTTCATTTACTTGAAATTGATTGGACGTTGATGTGAAACGCATTCCTTTCTTCCATGCCAACCCAGGCAAGGCCCACCGTGGACGAGGCCCAGCGGGGGCATCGGCTTCGCCGCTTGACTACCTCGGGGCGTGGTTCTGGATCCCAGGGCACCCTAAACCCTAAACCCTAAAACCCGAAACCCTCTCTCTCCAAAACCCTAAACCCGAGAACCACATTTCAGGTGCTTCAGAATGCCTCAGAGATGCCCCGGCTCCGAAGAGGCACTTGAAGGCGCAAACCTGGGATGGCCTCGTTTGGAGGTTGGCACACGAAGGCTCAGGCTGTCAAAGGCAATGTCAGTGGGTAGATTACTAGTACTCCTCGCGCTAGTTCATGGCCACTGGTCAGTCTGCACTCGCAAAGCTCCAAAGATCCTCCCAACCTCCACCGAACGACGGCAAAAAGGCCAAGCTCCAGAATCCTGCATCCTCCAGCCTCAGTGTCGAAGAAAGACTCCGCCGACTGGAAGAAGGACAGAGCTTGCACAGCCAGGTCATTGTGCAGCAAGGGCATCGCTTGAATCGAGTAGAGGCCGCAGTGGAAGTAATCATATGGATTCAAGACAACAAGCTCAAGAAGATGGCCGCAGAAGCGCACAACATGTGGAAGGAAGCCAAGCCTCAGCAGGGGCCTCATCCTATGGGTGGGCATGGCCACGTGGTACATGCACTCATTCTTCAGGCAAACATGGAGGCTATGAACAGCGCAAATCCAGATCAAGGCGAACAGATGAGAAGACATCCGCAGTTCAAAGCATTAAAACAATTCCTCAATATTTCAGACGAGTCTCAGACCGTGGAAACAGTGACACAGTACCTCAACAGCATTCACGAAAGGCCCATGACGGAGTGCGTGCAAAGTTGCAGGCCAGTGTCAAAGCGAAAGATGACAGAGGACAAACCGTGGGGATGGAGCGTGATCTACGAGTCTGGTTTGGAGGGCAGCAAGCTGCGCGACTTCATGCTCACGTACGCCCAGCCACTACATGCAGTGTTTGGACTGGTGAGTGTGAGGAAAGGTGTTCCACGCGAAGATCGCAATCTCAAGAAGGTTGCGGGGATGGTGGCACATTGGGGCAGCGTCGCTGCGCCAACAGAGGACGCAGAGGCACAAGAGGAGGAAGAGCTCGAAGACGATCTGTCCAAGCAGACGCCCATGAAGGATGGCAAGCGGGGAAGAAAGTAAGAGCACTGCGGTACCAAAGAGCCAGACTTCGAAAGAAGACTGAGAAGTTCACTCCCAGCAGCCAGCAATTTCATGACACTTTCGTTGCCGAGATGGCTTGTGCGGTCGCAAGTCCGCGCTGCCATGTGGCAGAGCCGAGCGTTTCCGCGCTGCCTGACGCGCGGATGGAGCCTTCTTCTTCGGGAGGCGAAAACGGCAGTCAGGTGATACCGCCAAGAACTCGGACAGCACTGCGTGGAGTGCGAAAGCAAAGCATTCGCAGAGCAGCTTATGCCGCAGCAGGTGGACAAGCAGTCCAAATTAGAGGTCGCCAAGTTTCAGAAAGCAACTGGCGTGAGATTTTTCCTGGCATTTCCTTACCGCATCAAGATAGGACGCCTTCATCTCACCCAGAAGGCCGTGCTGTGAAGAAAAGACCCGGGCAGGCACGTAGACACCTCGAAACACTTGTCTCCTTCAACGTGCTGTCAGCAAAAGAAGACAGCTGCAGCAACAAGAGTGCAGGCAGGTGGTTCCTCCTAGAAAGCGTCTTCTTTGAGAACAAGGTGGACGTCGCGATGCTGCAGGGGACCATGGAGACTGGTACAAGCAAGACGGTTGGCGAGCACTACGTCATTTACAAGCACGGAGCCTCAAAATGGAGGCCAGGATATGCAGCAGGAGTGGCCGTGATGGTTCGCAAAAACAGGCATGCAGGCGATGTTACTGTGCATAACATTTCAGAAAGGCTCATGTTTTTGGAGATCAAAGCTTCGAATAGACATGATGTCTACGGGTCGGGGTATGCTCCAGGAGAGTGGGACTCAGAGGAGGTCAGGACTAAGTTTTACGATCTCCTGCAGAGCACCATGGAAGCGCTGCCCGCGAGAGCAACAAAACATTTGGGCATCGACAACAATGGCACAGTCTGCAAATGCGAGCCATGTTCAGGTAAGTGGGCCCAGGCTCCAGAAGGCCAGCCCTCTGCAAACGGACAGGCTCTACTGGACATTTGCGAAGCAATGACGTTGCGGCTAGCCAATACTCATTTCCGGGACCCACACCTCAGCACCTGCTACACATATGGAAATGGCCAAGAACAATCACGTCAGATTGACTTCCTTGCGATTGACTGCAGGGACACCCAAGCGGTATGCCGCGCCCGGACTCAGCCACAATGGCCAGTACACCTTCGCTCGGATGGAAGACTAGATCACGTGCCAGTTCTTGCTAAAGTGAGCTGCCAGAAGCCAAAAACAGCTCCTCAGCGGCAAGGCGTGAGATGGAACTGGGAGGCTCTCAGAGACCCAGTGGTCCTCCAACTCTTCAGACAGGATCTGGAGAGATTGTGCAAGGAGCAAGATGAACACCAACGAGAGGTCACTGAACATTGGGAATGGTTGAAACAGCAGCTTCAAGTTTTGCAGCAAAAGCATTTCTTCAAGCCTGATGACGGCATCCGCCAGCCGTACATCACCTCGCAGACGAAGGATCTCATTCATGAAAAGGCCCAATGTCTTAGATCGCTGCGCGAAGCTAGAGAAGCCTTTGATGCTGATACCGCAAATGAAGCAGCTCACCAGTCCTTTCTAGCACATCAAGCTGCGCTGAAAGAAGTGAATCGCAAAGTTCGTCAAGCAGTGAAGCTTGACAAGACATGCTGGATCGAAGAACTGGGAAAGGAAGCTCAATGTGCGGCGCAGAGCAATGATTTTCGAAGGCTCTATGCAATTGAGCGGCGTTTGAGTGGCAGGAAAGTGCGTTCTCCAAAGGTTTACGTGCAGCTTGACTCCGGCAGAGCTGCCTTGACTTCAGAAGCTGAACAGCAGGCGTGGCTCCAGCACGGTTTGCGGGTGTTCGGAGGCAGAGAAGTTTCTAGCTGTGAGCGACAATCGGGGCGATGCAGTCTCGAGGGTCATCTTGCTAATCCCCCAACTGCCCAGGAAATCCAAAAAAGCATTGGAGCCATGCGTGTCGGCAAAGCAACCAAGCCCGACGGCCCAGGAGCAGCTCTGCTAAAAGCAGGAGATGCTCCAATGCGATGCCTGCTGATGAAGTTTGCCCAGCACATCGTGGATAACCACGACGACGAAGAAGCTTGTGTCTGTGTCCCTAGTGAGCTTAGAGACCCTAGGATGGTTTGGATATGGAAGAAGAAGGGTGATATCCATGATCGTGATGTTTACAGGGGGATAGGATTGCGTCATCACCTTTTCCAAGTCATCATAGGCGTCTATGCTTCGAGACTCAAACTTCTTCAACGCAGTGCTATTGATTATTGGCACTATGGGTATAGGGCAGGCAGTAGCCGTACACATGCAATCTTTGTAGTCAGGCATACTCTTTGGCGCCTCACCAAGGCAAAACAGTCTTGGGAATTGGTGCTGTACGACCAAACAAAATATTTTGACATGATCGATCGCTCGGACCTCATTCGGGATCTTCAGGATGCTGGGTTGGGGGTTAGTGACATCAAGGTTTTTGAGGCTACTCTTAACAAGTCGTGCTATGAGTATGGTTCCAGCAACACCCGATACCAGCAGGTCCTAAAAGGAGTCGTCCAAGGAGGGAGGGAGAGTGCTATGCTTAGTTTGGGTCCCATGAATCGTACTCTCAGAGCCCTGAAACAACGTAGGCTTAGGAGGTTGGCCGGTTCTGGTGTTCCTAGTGTCTGTGTTAGGACGAACAGCCAAGCAAGCCTCACTCACCCCACGGGCAATGCTGCTGCCGCCGACAAGAATTACGATCTCACTGACGCTGTGTACGCTGATGATGTTGCTAGCATTGTCTTATGCCCTACTCAGCATGTGGTGACCGAAATGCGGGATTTTTGTGAGGTCGCTGAGGGAGAAGGTCTGCTGCCAAACGTTGAGAAGTTTGAGAGAGTTAGGCGTTTCAATGGGGCTGGGGCTGAAAGGCTTCGGGATGATTCGGCTTACTCCGACCGTCTCCCTAATCGGCAGGGCACTGTGAAAGTTCAAGATAGCGTCAAGTATTTGGGTGACCACTTAGACAACAGTCACTCAAACCGGCGAGAAATTGATCACCGACTTCGCTGCGCCCGTGCTGCTTTCAACAGTTTGGCCGCAAGGGTTTGGAAGAATCGAGGTCTGAAACCTGAGACGCTGAAAGTTCTGTATGCTTCGCTTGTCAGGTGTCACTTGGTGGGGGCCCTTGAATGTTATGCCTTGACCAAAAGCGAAACGGCCAAACTCGAAAGGCAGCAGAACGTTTTCCTCTGGAGACTGCACTGCTTTTGTCACGAGCTCCCCGCCGGGCCTGAAAAGTACAGAGACCGGCCCACGTCTGAGAGACTGCGAGAGTGGCTAGGGGTTCACACTGTTGAGTCGCAGCTGGTTGTGGCTAGAGTGTCGTGGTTGGTTGCTAGTAAGCTTGGTGGTCCTCCTCAGGTTTGGGGTCTCATTACTGGCATCTTTGACTTTGAAGACCAAGCCCCGCGCAGTCCATGGCACTTGCTCTGGGAAAGGGATCTGGGTCAGGTCAAAGCCGTTTTGGGCCCTGATCTTCCTGCACAGCAGACCGAACAGATTTTCCAGCATCTGACTCGGCTCAGTGAAGCCTCTCGCCAGAAGCTGTTGGCCAGATGCTTATCGTTTAGGAACTGGGAGACGCTTGACAGGGACGTGTTTTGTCCTGACTGTTCTTCTAAGTTTCTGGACCAACGGTGGCTTCGTTTTCACCAGAAACGTGTGCACACGCACAGAGACCCTAACCCCGAAGATGCGCTCTTGGACATTGAAGCGTATAATCCGACCGGTGTCACTTGTCCTTGTTGTGGGTTTAAGTTCTCTTGTAGGGTTTCCTTGTTGCAGCACGTCAGAAAAAGAGCTGTTTGCAGGGAGGGTCTAAAGTGGATGTGGCAACAACACAGCAATGGAGTCACGCCTACTTTCCCAATATGTGCACTGTCCGGCAAGGCAAAATCCAAGCGGGAAAGAGCCAGAATCCCCAACATGTGGAGGGAGCTTCTTGTTCGACGGCTCATAAAAGAAGTGCTGGCACAGGCCCAGTTCTTCAGAGATGAGCAGCGCGGAGCGCGCCATCAATCCCGCTAGGATGCTGCAGCCTGAAGCATTGGGCCCCAGGGGCTGCTTCAGGCCTTCTTGGCGTTTGGCCTCAGAGGCAGCGCGCGTGGCACCGCAGAGCGGCAGTAACACACGCGCAGCGCCAGTTCGAGGCGGACCGCGACGCTCTTTCAGAGTGAGGTCATGATGATGATGATGATGGTTGGCACACGGATGTGGGAAGAAGCTGTTTAGGGTTTAGGGTTTAGGGTTTAGGGTTTAGGGTTTAGGGTTTAGGGGTGTCTTGCTCGTGGCTGTGGTGAACAATTATCACAGACGGCGCTTTCAGCTACCCATGTGTGCGAGCAACGCCCAGAACCCTCGAAGCGCGTGCCGAAGCAAGACGCTGGAACTGAGTCTCCAGACAGCAGCAGCGCTGGAAGCCAAGCATTTGGCAACAAGGGGAATGCCAAAGGTAGCGCCAAGATGTTGGCCTGGAGGGGGGAGGTTTAGGGTTTAGGGCTTAGGGTTTAGGGTTTAGGGCTTAGGGCTTAGGGTTTAGCGAACTTGGTGGCCAGACATGAGCTTGGCAAGGGAAACTCGCGCATTCTCACAGCCGCTACAAGCGTCCTCTACTGAGCCGGCCTCTATCACCAAGGAGTCCCATTGCAAAGCTGCGAAGATGCCAGCGCTGCCTGCAACTGTCTTGACAGCTCACGTTGTGGCTGAGCACAGCTGCCCTTGCAAAGGACGCCAACCTCGTAGGGCGCGGTAGCCTTGTCTAAACCCCATGCAAACCGCTGCGCGTCAAAATTTGGAGGTCTGTACAGTACAGGTGCAGCAATTGAGTGGGCAGGCATGTGTTTGGGAACCCGCAGCCAAGTGCCCCGCAGAGCGTGGCAAGCAAGAGCGCCGTAACCTTGGCACGACAAGCTACGGGTTCACAGTTACGAGCATACTTGCCAATAAACGGAGAGATTGCACAGCCTGTCGTTAGAATATTTGTTTTTGCGCATGGCTGAGCCCAATAAACTGAAGCCAGCACTAGCAGAAACTGCAGCTTGGTTAGGCAGTGGCTCTGCTATGGAGAAAGGGCGCCCTGTCGTTTACATGCCAGCTCCTTCCATAGTAGTCATGAAAAAAAGATGCAAACTTTCAACATGTAAGCTTCTGCTATCCCATCAACACGCAGAGCCGGCTTCTTCTCTGAGGTCAGAGCTCTGAGAAGGCCGAGACAGCATTGTAGAAACATTCCTGCAGCACAGGTCCAGGAGCACCGAACCACTCACACAGCAAGAGCTCTTTTAAAGCACGGGCCTGTCACGCTGCAACCAGTTCCGGGCATCTCCAGGACCTCCAGAATCTTCAGCTTCTTGGGGTTTAGGCATTTTTATTGTTGCCAGAGGGGTTTTTCAAGCTTTAGGACTTAAGGTTTAGGTAAGCTGCGGTTTCTGGGCGGACAGGCCCCCGCTTCTCCTTTTGGAGCACTGTGCCCACAAGGCGGTCCAGTCTACCATGATTCTGATTGTGGGAAGCTGAGGATCTGGCGGAGAGCAGAAAAACCATGCATGAACAGACCTCGCCGATTCGACCTTGAGTTGTTGATTC